CTTACAGCTGGTCAAAAGTTATCAACCTGTTGTTGGCGACACCCGTAACACCACTTAGCCCAACAAGACTTGTACTGAGCATTTGTTGATCTGCATTGGGCAGAGAGGAGAATATCTGTAGCTTCTTTTGAGAGGCCTTCTGAAGAGAGGTGATCCCCAAGACTCCATCCTGCTAGAGGCAGGGAGTTGTTGATGATCAGGGGATGTCTGTTCCCCAGTGGGTCTAACAGTAGGTTGTTGTGAATTGGAAGCAATACTGGATTGCTTTTTAACAACTGTAGAAGGTGGGGGTACCATGCCTGCACTGGCCACACTGGGCAAACAATCAACAGTGTTGCTCTTTCGAGGCTTATCTTCTTCAGAAATTTGCTGATCAAGTTGAAAGGGGGGGAAGGCGTAGGCATTCTCCTCCCTCCAAGGCTGAACTAGGGCATCAAACTGTTCTGCTAGAGGATCTGGCAGATAGCTGTAGAATCTCTCCAGCTGAGCATTGCTCCTGTTGGCAAAAAGGTCTATTGTAAAAGGACCGAAACTCTGATTCAGAACTTGGAACACTGCTGAATTGAGCTTCCAGTCTGCTGCATCTGGCTTTGCTCAAGACTTTGCATCTGCTATGACATTCATTCGACCTGGAATGTGCTCTGCTCAAAGGGTGATTTTCTTGTTGAGACACCATTCCCAGAGGATACAAGCATGTTTGTCAAGCACACCCTGTTTGGCACCCCCCCATTTTGTTTAGATAAGCTATAGCTGATGTATTGTCCATTTGTATTAGGACATGAGCATTGTTCAGGGATTTGGTGAAGGCTTTGATTGCAAAGGTGGCTGCAAGCAGCTCCAGGCAATTTATGTGAAGTGAGGATTCATGGAGGGACCAGGTTCTCCTTGTCTCTATCCTGTTGCACACAGCCCCCCAGCCAGACCCCGAAGCATCCGACTGGATCAGAATGTTGGGGAGGAGGGGTTTACAGGCCTGGTGTTGGCTGTGGGTAACAAGACGGGATGAGTGGTCGCGCAAGAATGAGAAGGATTCAAGGAATATACCTCTAAAATACTTTATTGAAGCCAAACTGAACCCAAGTAATGATGATATTAAAAGAAAAGTTGAAAAATAATAAACAAATAAATAAATGAATAAATAAATAAACGGGAATAACTAGCAGAATGCAGTAACCCTGTAGGCATACAAAAGTGAATTATACTACTAGCTAAAGCTGAACCAATATAATGATAGTATACGATAATAGTACAACACAATAAAGAATAATTCGTTTCTCCTAGGTAATAAGACTAGTAAAATTGTACAATGCAGTAAACAATATTCATTTGATACACTGAGAGAATTTTTCCAGTCAAGGTAAAAGAAAAAGGAAAATATAATGAAATTTATGCAGAGGAAGACTGAGTTCGATCCCAACAAAGAAAAGGAATGGAAGTGACGTAAATCACTTATGCACAATCTGAACGGATTGAAATAGGCACACGGTGAGCAGAAGCGAATTCGCATAGAGATAACTGAATAACCCTTGCAAAGAAATGCGAAATTACTGTGGAAAATGTTACTCGGACGGCATAACATAACTAGGGAGGGATTCTTCTCAACCGGATGAAAGGTTAGAGCGATTAATTTGTGAACAAATAGTTCTGACCTGAAATGACCTGAATTATGGCAAAGAACAAAATAAACTAGGGAAAAATGACTGATACTGGCAATACAGGGATTCGAAAGAATTGTAAAACCAACTGAAAGTTATTGTAATAAATGAGAATGACATATGAACAGAATTTGTTGAGTAAATTTGTAAAAAGAACCAAAATACCCTAAGAGCTCGAGACAACAAAACAAAACACGTGGGGCATACTGCGGATAATAACAAAATCAAATAGCCTAAGGAAAAGCTAGCAAAATACAAGGAAATGAAAAAGACGTTTCTAGGTTAAACTAATAGTGATAAAACAAGCAAGATTCCGAAGTTACTGGAGTCAATAAACTTCGAGAGGGGAGTTTAAAAACTAGGAAACACGGTCAGCTAAAACTGGGGAATTACCAGACTGAAAATAAGCTACTCTTACGATAATCAGCAAATGACTTAGGAAGCAAGAAGTCAATTCTACTAAGCAATGTAAAGTAGCTAAGCGTACTGAAATACAAGTCTAAGACTAAGCATCAATTGTGACTTATCGGTAAAGAATCAACTACTGGCAACAGATTGAGCTAATTTCACATACCTCGAACAGAAGAAGGTCTTCGTCTTCTTACAAGTGATCCAATGTAACTCGAAATAACCAACTGAAGGACTAACTAAAACAGCCTCTATTTATGTGAAACGGACAAGCGTAGGACAACACTCTTAAGATTCTACAACCTGTTGCCAGAACTTCACCCTTCCGAATTGCAGCGCGCAGTAAGGACGTCCTGTACTTATTTCGCTATTGAAATGTGATAATTATATCAAAACAAACAAGATCATTTTGCCGAAAGGAAATTAGTTAAAATGGCGCCTGAGAAATCACGTCTTCACAAGTAGGTGTAACTTGCGCATATCTGTTTAGCACCATGATATACAACATTCCAAAACGATCACTAGGTTGCATCCTAAGAGTAGAAAAATTATTACGATAAAATATAGAAAAATACTGAAATATAAGAGCCTCTAGTTCATTCCAAAATATGTGTCTAGTGACTCTGTCACACTAGGTTGTTTACCCACCATTCCAGGTCTAACAAGGCCTCTACATCAAAAATTACCTTCTGATGAACAGGAACTCTCTGGATGTCTAAAGAGTTCTTCTGGTGTTGAAGTGCTCTGTAATGGAGTGGAGCCTGGAATACAGCTGCCTTTGCTGCTATCATTTTGCCACTTAAGTGTGCTAGGTCTGACTGTGAGGGAGTCTTGGAACTTAGAAGTCTTCTGCATTCGTTCTGAAGGTTCACAACCTTGCTGTCTGGAAGGGAGAAGCTCATGTGTATAGAGCTGACTAGAACACCTAGGAATTCCATTTCCTGTGAAGGAAAAGAATAGATTTTTCCATGTTCACAGTAAACCCCAGATTTTCCAGCAGGTGGATCATTAGAGAGGTATCTCTCAGAGCTCCCTCCCTCTGAGAATTCATGCAAATGCATTAAATCCATAGAACCAATCTTCTCACAAAAGCCACTAGGGGCTTCAGCACTTTGGTGAAGACCCGCGGTGCTGATGTGAGACTAAAGGGTAGGCATTTGAACTGGTAGGTTACATTCTGGAACTGAAAGCAAAGTAGCTTCTGGTGTTCCAGGTCAATGGGAACAGCAAAGTATGCATCTTTGAGGTCTATCTTGCTCATAACGTCTTGAGGACAAAGGATGTCTGCAACCACCTTCAAGTCCTCCATCTTGAAATGATGATGGTGCACAAAAGAATTCAGTGAGGATAGCTTTATCACTGGGTGATGCCCTTCCCCTCTCTTTTCCACAAGGAAAAGGTTGCTGTAAAAGAGTTTCCTGTGGTGAGGGACACTCACTATGGCTTTCTTGTCTAAGAGGCTGGTAATCTCATCCTCCACTAGGGCAAGCTTACTGGGATTCAAGTGATGAGGGGAGGGCAGTCTTAACTGTCTGGGACTCCCTGTTAGTTCTAGCCTGTAACCCCCTACGGTGTTAAGGGTCCACTGGTCTGATGTTAAGAGTTCCCAATTTTGGAGAAAATGGAGAGGCCATGAAAATTCAGGAAAAATTTTCATGGTCAATGAATTTTTTACGTATTCACAGGATATTTACGGGTCATGATTTCTCACAATCCATTAAAACCTAGTGAATTTTAACACCATGAATTTTTTTGACATGAAATTCATGGATTTTTCAGTACCTTTGAAAAGGCCATGAAATGCCGTTTTCATGAGTATTTCATGGCTTCTAGGTCGCTTTACACAATGTTTCATGGGTCATGAATATGCAAATTTTCACAAGTTTTTCATGGGATTTTTCATGTCTTTTTCATGGCACTGAGACCATGAAAAAGCCATTGATTTAACCATGAAAATCCTGTGAAAAATCTGTGAATTTACCATGAATAAATTCACAAGATTTTCATGGGTTTGATTTCATAGTGTGCAAGTCCTTTTGTCTCACGTTTAGCATCAACAAGAGCAGCTCATTAACCACTGTACATTTTACACCACATTGCATTTTTTACTGCAGTACACCACTTTCATAAATGGCTGCCGGATTGATATTCTTTTGTTTAAATTCAAATTAGCCTCAGCCTCGCTTGAGATAATGCATTCTTTTGAATTTTGAACTGGAGAACGAGGCCAGAAAGGCTAATTTAAATTTAAACAAAAGAATATCAATCCAGGAGCCATTTTTGAAAGTGGTCAATACTCTACAACTACACAACAATAGGCAAATGTAGTCACAGACTGCCTTTTATTTAAAGAAATCAACAAAATTTTATTGCATTTACAATTTAACATTTGTAACAAGTCCAGTTAAGGCCAGCAAATAAATTTAAGCTGAATAGTGCAGCTTTTAACAAACTAGTTATCTTTCTGGAGACAGTTTTTTGCTACCAGGCCATCTGATGAAGTGTGAAATTTCCTAGTCTGTTTGAGACTGAATTGCATGGGTTACCATGCAGTTACATTTTTCAAGGAAAAAGCTGTTAAGATGGATTTTTGTTGTATAATTAATGGTGCAAATTGAATCCTCTTAAACAGCTTCCTTATTTTTGATTGTCAGTCCTTTTTGTGTAGTCATGGATATGCATGTATATTTATCAGGTAATTCTAAAAAAGACTACCTATATGGAGCAGGATTATACTGGAAGGGGTTCTTGTTCATCAATATGTGGCTTGATTCCTGAGGCTGTAATAATTTTTGTCACTCTTGAAGTATGTTAAAACTTTCATTTCTTGTGGTGAATTTTCCTGGCTTATTCTTGAGGTATACATACCAAGTAATATTGCAATAGGTTTTCTTTTTTAACCATCATTTACATGTAAGTGTTTTTTTTCTTTTAGGCGCTATTGGACAAACCACAAATAATCTTACACAGTTGAAGAGTATAATCAGTGGCAAGAATAAGGGAGGTCTTGAGGAGTTAAAGAATGCTGCCTCGGAAATGGGCTTTACAGTGTCTGATAATGATAGAGGAGGAAATTGTCTGTTCCATGCTTTAGCAGAACAACTGGAAATTGTTAAAGGAATTACAATTAAACATGAAGAATTAAGAAAAACCTTAGTTGGGTACCTGGCAGGAAATCCAAAATTGGTAAGTTTCATTTGGTATTTACAAGTACTATCACTTACAAGTGATAGTGTAGTCAGTTTGTCTGGGTAAGTGTAGTCCTGAGAAGGACTGTTGTGGGTACAATGTAGTGTTGGTAGTTCATACAAACTGATTGGTTAGTTTTGCTGTGATGTTATTGGCTGTAATATTCGTGTGGTGTAAGTCAGTCGTGATTGTTCTGTTTCAATCTGTTCAGGAGAATGTGACGTTGCGTTACATGTATGGTATTTTTAAAATAAGTGACAGGGATCAAATGTCAAGTACTTTTACTTAGTTCGAGTTTTTGCCTTGTGGAGATCAAGCATTCGCCATGGAGGTTTCTTAGTCCAAATAAAGTAAAATGTTGAGTTTAACCACGAATTTATTGAGTCGTTCTCAACATTTTTTGGCGACCCTGCCAGGACAGCATGAGCTAGTGGAATTTATTGTGGTCAAGGTTTGTTATTCGCATCGCTTCGCATCGTGTTTGGTTTTACACGGGCTTTTTGCATCATTTCGCTTGGTGTGTGCAGGGGATTTTGCAATCTTGGATACGCTGTTGGAATTGAACGAAGGATTTGTCTGGATTGAGTAAGCAGATAACATCGTGCTCAAATTTTGTGGTTCACATCGTATTTGGATTTTGTTATTCGCTGTCATCACTTGGCATGGTAATTGTGTTAGATTCTGTGTTGGATTATTGAGCCTCTGTATATGGGTATTTCCAACAAAATCGAAGACGTGACGATCGCTATTGATGAAACGAAGATCTCAGAGATTGAAGCGACGATTTAGAAATTATTGCGTTCAGACAAGATATCAGTCAGTCAGACCTAAAAGAATTAAATATGAAAATTATAAGTCATTTGATCCCCATTCAAACCTGAAATGTGGAAATTAGTGCACTTGATAAAAAAAAGAAAAGGTTAGAAAAGGATCTAAAAAGGTCTGGGTGCGTGAATGTTGATGATTGATCATGATTAGTAGATCATTCAGTCCGATTGATTGAGGACCATTGTTATCAGCGACGTCAACGACCCCCACTGACCTGTTGCCTCGTGGTCTTGTATGACCTTGAATCGCTTTAGGTGGAACTGTCGGTGGAACTGCGCCGCAGAAATTGATAGCGAATGATAAATGTGGCGTGGCGCATGGCATAACCTTCAATGGACATAATGTGATCTTCACAGACAGAAAATGTAATCAAGTAGAGCAACTGACTCCAACTGGAGAGGTCACGGTGATATCAGGAGATGGTCAGTTTACGACAGCAAGTAGAAGGTCATCTTCAAGCAACCATGCACAACCCACGGGCTTAGCTACTGAAGGTCACACAATATTTTTGTGAGACGGGGTCACAATCAGAATCATTACCCTTACATCATCATTGGCTACCTACTGAGAAAACATACGAAAAATGTCTCAGGTGTTCTCAGTCTACTCGGACAAAACGAAATGTGGTTACAATCAAGACGTAAACCTTGATGAGGTAATGCGGTCGTTTCGCCAACGAGGTGTTTTGCCAACGCCTCGTTCGCCAACGTGTTAGGTTGATTCGCCAACGTCCTATGTAGATTCGCCAACGTCCTACTGGTCAATTCGCCAACGTCAGATATCCAAGACTAGTGAAAAAAAAAAGTTGCTTATTGATGTTTAGAATGCAATCCTGATCCTTGAGTCACTGCTAGTTTCGCTTGACTGACTTCAATTTGCACATTTTGACAGATCAATTTGCACGTTTTGACAGTTGTTGCAACTACCGCACCAATTCATTAATGTATTATGATGTAAATTAACATTCTATCTTCAACTTTTCCAGCCTTATAATCGAGTAATAAATAAAATGGAATGTGAAGTAAATAACAACAGCAATTGCATTACAATATATAGTATGAAATATTTACAAGCACAAAAAAACCTATGAAATACTTATCTGAAACCAACTTATCATATTTACAGAGAAGTTTTAGTTCGCACGAGCTGGTCCGTTAAGCTGACAACAAGTCTTGAGTAGTTGGGAGGCAGTCTTTTCGTTGTTCTCGTACTTTTGCCAGCTTGCAAATAGCTCAGCCTGGATATTCCTTGTGACACTTCGTTGAATTCTTTTAATTTTATTGCCTGATACAAGCCTGATTGTCACGGCTGTAAGTTTTGCCTCTCTATCAAGCAACTCGATTAATAACTACAACGGCAAGCTGCACTGTCTCCTCGCTCAGCGATTGAGTGCGTTGTGCCTTCAAGATCATTATTGGTTCGAATTGGCTGTTTGTAGACGCACCAGTTTCTTGGAGTAAACACCTGGCTTTTGATCCACTGTCGCCTGAGGTAGTCAATGAGACTCCTCAGTTGCTCTCTTTGGGCCTGGGCCTCAATGCGGACGAACATCAGCAGGATCTCTCCATACGGAAGGAATGGTAAGGCCATTATCTTTCTGATATACTCGTACACCGCATCGTCACCAGAGTAAGCCGTCTGAAGGCCAAGCTCTTGTACCATAAAGTAAAAAAATATAAAAGGTATAAAAGATAATGCTTTATCAGTTGCTACAGTATCAGATGATATCAGAAAGTAATCGTCTTGTCTCTCCCTTTCAGTTCTATCATTATTAAAGTTGATATGTCAGTTTAGTCGTTGCTTGATATCTCAGTTTAGTCGTTTAATGTTCACTAATGAATTTACTTTCGTGGCTTTTTTGGCCAACTATTAAAGCGCAAAACACAACTTCCTCCAGAAGGCTTGTGTCCAGTGGAAACACATCCTTGGATTGCAACTGTTGGTAGGACTGCTGGGAGTGCCGACCACAGCGCCTTCTCAAAGTCCACGGTTACTTGCCTGACGGCGAGCTCGGGCATCAGTTGGATTAGCTTTTCGAGCACCTAGTAACAATGTAACAATACATTTTATAATTGTTAAGAGGCTGTCTCTCTTATTTCCACCCGGTCAATTTCGCGTCAAAAAAAATTTTGCCTGAAACTCTGTCAAAAGAAAGACTTTACATAGGAAAGAAGTAAATTAGGTTTGGTTTGATTCGAAATAATTTTCTGACCGCGTTAGGGGCCACAGTTATTTCCCAGTCCGTAGGGACCGTGGCAACGTCTCGAAGATTGAAAAATAGGCATATTTTGTAACATTGTAAAATATTTGATTCGCATAGTTAAGCCACCGAATTTGTATCAGATTGCTTAAAAACCTTTCTAGTTTGCCAAGAAAGTTAGAATTTGCCCTCTCAATATATCTGAAAAGGCGAATTTTAGCATATTCTGACCCCTATAAATCGCCATCGGCCGATGGCCGTAAATAACCTTGATTTAGACGTTAAGTTTTGGGATTTGGGACCTGGTTGACAACTCTATCCTACACAGCCGTTAAGTTTAGACCTTTATAGGCAAAAAAATGCAAAAACCCCG